TCCGATACAAACCCATGTTCTCGCTTCTGCTCTTGTTTACTGCATTAAGACAACGCGATTCAAACTGCTGCGTGCTACGGTAGTTGAACCCTTATCCTCTGCATGACATGTCATTGCCACAGTAACTAGATGAAACCCACTAGCATCTGTAGGAGTTGATTGAGCCATGTATGTGATTCCTACCCTACTGTGCATGCTATGCTTAGAGTTGTGTCAGGTCTAGTTCATCTGGGTGATGGGCCAGAGTGAAATGATTATGTCGGTAATATGAGGGAGGTGTTGAACATGTTTTGGTAAAGGTATCGATGAGAGGCCATTTAGGAGTACATGGTGGGTTGTTTCATTGAGGCCGTCCATAAGAACTGAGATCTGTATGCGTGATTTAAGATTCAGCTACTACCACACATTGTGTCCTGAAATATGACCCCGCTCGACTTACTGACCCCTCTCGTCCTCTGTCCAGGAGTTGCAACTAGTTTCTGGTGTTTGTAGGTTATGTGTTGGCGGTCGTGCGTAGCGCTGACCCTAGGGGTGGGCTATGATGCGGTAGATACACCATGGCACGGTGTACCGAGTCGCCTGTTTGGTGTCTCGGGAACCCTGCACACATCGTTTGGGGCCGTTGAGGACACCCTGGCCGGATCTCCTTGCGGATGGAACCCGAATAGGCGATAAACCTGGACTAGAGACTTGAGCGGTTAGTCAGGTCGTGGTCTACACCCACGTCGGTTTTCGCTTGAAGTCTGCCGAGCACATGTCGTGTGCAGACGCTAAGTGGTGGAAACATGTGTGAAGAAGTACACCCCTGCAGGGTATAAAACTATTCGAATAGTCGTGTCCGCGGTAAAGGATTACTTGGTTGCCTATACAGTTCATAGACAAGTTAATGGATACTACTAAAAGACTCAAGATAAGTGTGAGTACCGAGGATGGCCCTCTCGTAAGATGACGAGGAAGGATCCCCGGTGGAGTATTGTGTTGGTGATTAGTGGACTCGTGTGCGAAAACTATTTTATTAGTGGTGTTTCGTAGGATAGCTTAGCCAAGAGTCAAAGCTGGCTTGCTGCAATAACTCCACCACCTTCTTGAGAACGAGCATGTATAGTAGGTTCTGATGTAAGACTTGCTGAGTACCTTTGTACTCATGTTTGCTTAATTACTGTTTTCAGACGACAACACCGCCCCCTCCGATGGGTTTTATGTAGACCTCGACGTCGATGAGTGACTTGCCACCCAGGTGGTGATCCTGGCCATGGAGGGCCCTATGTAGATAGACATGCTTCGAGAAGCCTTCTTTCTTTCTAGTGTCTGTACTCCGACTAGTTGCTTCCGCACGTGCTTGTATGATTGTATGACTTGAGTGTCGGGTCGTGTGACCCCTACCTGTATGAATATGTTATGTATGGCTCTCTGGAGCCTTCAAATAAAGTATTTGAGTTGTAGAGTTTTGTTGTGATGCCATGTTGTATTTGCACATATCGAGCATATTGTGTGTATGATTGAAATGCTTGGTATGTGTGGGATCCGACAATCTAGTTGTTTATCCTTGGCAGCCTTTCTTATGGGGAAATGTAGTCTAGTGTTCCTCGAGCCATAGTAGTCCGCTACAGCCCGGTTCACCGGAGTCCTGCTAGCCCAGCACTGCTGCTCAGGACACTTGACTGGCCGGCATGTGTTTCACTTCGTTCCTATGTCTGTCCCTTTGGGGAAATGTCACGCGGTGACTTCCGCAGTCCTGCCTAGCCTGCTATAGCCCGGGTTCCCCGAAGTCCTGTTAGCCTAGTGCTACAGCCCGGATTCACTCGCTTATGACGGACATGCTCGATGTGATTCATGTATGCATGTCTCCATAGGTCTGTGCCGCTTTGGGTTCACGACTAGCCATGTCGGTCCGGGTTCTTTGACATATGGATGCTAGCGACACTATCATATACATGAGCCAAAAGGCGCAAACGGTCCCGGGCCATGGTAAGGCGACATCCGTGGGAATACCGTGCGTGAGGCCGCAATGTGATATGAGGTGTTACCGGCTAGATCTATGTGACTTGGAATCAGGGTCCTGACACTTATGTACCTATAAATGATTTTCAGAAAAAATAAAGAGCAAACTATGAGGCAGATGCAGTTCAAATTTGACCCGCTTCCTAGTGAACCAGCGGAATTTTGTCTTTTTCACCAAAGGTGGATCAAAACTTTTGACACCCAACCATTTAGTCAATTTTGAATTAAATATGGTCTAGTATTTCATAAAATTGATTTGGTCCAATTTTGCAACAAATATATGGTAGGTCCTTCAAAAAATCTCATTTCACGCACTCGGAAAATGGAAAATGAATTTTCCATGCATAGAAAATGAAAACTTCCTTAGGCAACATTGTTTGGTATTCCAAGATGCACCCTTGTGCACAATATGAGATCATTTCAAAAAACTATGCCATGAATGTGGCCACAAAATTGATCATTTGGCTTGAAAGTCATGAATCTTCATGTATGATAGCTCCTTTTTAAGAACATTTTTTTTAAAATAATTGCCGTATTACAAGTTTATTATTTTTTTCTGGTAACTTGGTCACATGTAATGACAAAATGCAAAGGTTTTCCAATTTTTAGATTTTTTTTTGAATTTTCTATGTCCGTTTCAAAATGCGGTCAAAGCGGCGAACATGACCGTTCCTAGCTAGTGGTTGAATATTGGAAAACTTTTGATATTTCTGTGATTAAATAGATACTTACGTACCTAGAAATGATTTTTGAAAAAAATAAAGAGCAAACTATAAGGTAGCTGCAGTTCAAATTTGACCCGCTTCCAACTAAATAGGCGGAAATTTGTCTTTTTCACTAGAGGTGGGTCGAAACTTTTGACACCCAACTATTTGGTCAATTGTGCATTAGATATGACCTAGTATTTTAGAAATTTTATTTGGTCCAATTTTGCAACAACTATTTGTTAGGTCCTTCACAAAAAACCTGATTATTGCCACTCCAAAAATTGAAAAATGATTTTTTTGTGCAAAGAAATAAAAACCCCATCCCAATATACACACAGTGCACAATATTGGAGCACTTTCACAAAATATGATCCAATTTTCTATCAAAGATTTCATATGTTCTTAAAAAACCATTTCCACACTCAGAAAATAAACTTATATTCTCATTGGTGGAAAGGTGTGTGCCACGGATCGATGACATGGCACACATCCATCCATCCACATCCATCCGTCCATAGATCCCACACCACGGTGACCTCCTCCCTCCGATCCTTCCTCCCAAACCCTAACTCCCACTCCCTCCCTTCCGCCACCGCCACTCCGATCGAATCGATGGCGACGCCGCACTTCCTCCCTTCCGCCGCCGCCACTCCGCTCCCGATCCAGACCCCCCTTGCAGCCGCCTCTTTCTCTTCCACACCTCTCCCCTTGCCACCGCCTCCCTCTCTGCCACCCACCTCTCCCCTCGCCGGCGGTCTGCCACATCCGGCAACGTCGAGGCCAGCGGGCGCTGGATCCGGCACCGGCGTGGCCCCTCCATCAACAACTCGAACTGGGGGGCGGCGGCGCCATGGCTTCCCCAACCCCACGGCATGGGCCTGAGCCACCCGCTGGCCTCGGCTGGGTCCCGGATGAGTAGCCGCGCAGGATGATGTTGATGGCGCTGCGGCCGCGGCCCCCGACCATCCTGCCGGCGCTGTGGGCCCCGCGGGAGGGAAGGAAGAGGGGAATGGCGAGGCGAGGCAAAGGAGGCGGCGGGGCTGGCGTCGGGGACGCGGCGCGGGCGGTGTGGCGCAGGGGACCGGCGCGGCCGCGGCTCCTGGTTGTCTCCGCCGTGGCCTGGGCGCTGCTCCTCCTCGCCTTCCACCTCCCCTCCGCCTACTTCCTCTCAGGTTACTCCCTCGCCCCCTCCTCTCCTGCCCGCCGCGCCCGACCAACCAGTGGTGGTGTCGCTCGTGCTTCCTGCTTCCAGTTTGCTCTTAGTCCATCGACTGATTAGTCGATCTACGATGCTTGCTACCCTGTCCGCGTGCATTGACCTGTTGGGATGAGAGAATCCAGTGCGGGATTTTAATCATAGTGCATCAATCTCGCGTGTCCAGAACAGGGATGGGGTTGCCTTATTGAGCAATCACGGCGACGAACCTGTGTGTCTCTCTAGCATGTGCATAGGTGGCTTTGGCTTATTGATTGCAAGTTTCAGGGGATTTCAGACTCTGAATGAAACTTGCAGCTAATTAACTAACTGATGCATCTCCTTGGCAATTGGCATGCTGCGCATTAGCTTCTTCAGTTACGATGCCATGCTACTAGAGCTTCTACTCGTCTTGTTTATCTCGTGCCGCATTCCGGAGTTAAATGTACCTTGCGTGCGTCTCCGTTGGGACTGCTCGTGACTTGACAATTCTGTGTTATGGGTCGTTGAATCAGTTTCCTATCTAGTTTAATGTAGATTCTGATTCTAGCTCCTAGACTTGTGTTCAAGTGTCTTTCATTTAACAGATGAGTGCAAAGAAGGCCACTGGATCCGCTAGAAATCGTTCGAGCTGCAGGGTTTTTCTTGCTCGCTCGCTTACTTTGCTACCTGTCTGTAACCTGGTAGATTTTGTTTTCTGCTACCATTCTCAGTGTCGTGAAATGGAGATGGATGTCTAACTGCTTCACATGCTTAATCTAATTTAATGTGTAAAATGGCAGGCAAATGCTGCTGCAAAGATATTAGTGGTATATGTGCATGCATTTGACAATATGATTTCACATGTGTGTTTGAACAATAACCATACAGATTATGGTACTGTTAATTTGGTGCAGTTGAATGAGTGCTTGGTGTTGATATTTTGTTAATGAGCATTATTTTGTCTTATAATAGATCGATTTGCATTGTTTTTGTTAACATAGTCCCACAACCTTATGTGATTTAATTGACCGAGATGTTGCAGTAGACTTCAGATATTATATAAACATCATGTTGTGATAGTGGTGGTCATCGTGTGCATGCAATTAACCAGGACGATGAGTGCGGCGACGAGTCCGACCAGGGCGAGCTGGAAGAGGAGGCCCAGGAGCTCGCCGCCCCTCATGGTGAGGGCGCGCCCGACTTGGATGGTGGCCGCCAAGGCCAACACCAATGAGGATGTCGTCCTGGAGTTTGTCGGGGACCTCATCCCATTTGACAAGGCGCGTGCCACTACGAGCGCGTCCCCATGGATGGCGGGAGGTAATGTATCCTAGTACCTTGTTTGTCTCGGATCGATTTGTCTCCTCTCTGTGTAACTGAATGTTGAACTGAAAGCTTGATTTGGTCAGGTGGAGGGTGGTTTGTGCAGGATGGGGAGGTGGGAGAAGAAGAACTCTGAAGGTAAACAATCTAACACTACTGCTCACAATCTGAGGTTTGTTTATTTCTGCCCTGAACTGAAGCTTGTGTTTATAAGTGTAGCTTGTGTTATACTCTTTACTAAACGCTCTGTGCCACGATCCCATGAGTAACAAGTTTGATCCTTAATCCTATTTGTAATTATACTTTGACTGTACTGAAGCTTGTGTCTGATTGTAGGCATATGGTACTGAACTATAGTACTGAACTGCACTATAGTAACAAGAGTAGCTTGTTTTAATGCTAGTTGCTGCTGCAAAACTACCCTTCAAGATGAAATTAGTTTGCTGGTGTTTACTCTCTACTAAAGAGATATTAGTAAAGCTGTCGTTGGTGGTTCAATTCTGAATATATACCGATATATGTTCTGAATATTACTCTGTTCTAAAGAGATGTGTACTGAACTGAAGATTGTAGGCATTGATATACACTTTGTCTTTGCCTTTGTGCTCTGCTCGAACCTGGCCAATTTGGTTGAATTGTCTCTGGGGCCTTACGTGGGCATGTGATCCAAGTAGGGCTAAACGTGCTGACGCTACTGATCTCGCAGTTGTACCACCATGCATTGTCGTTGCTTAGGCAGCATGCTACACGCACATCACAGCAACTTTGAAATTTGAGTCGCGTTGTAGTTGTGCTATGGCTGCGGTTTATATGCTGCATCCTTTTGTTACGAGTATCAAAAGTTGCTGCTGTTGTCTCCACTGGTTCACATACAGAGGAGCTGCGACTTAATTGTGCACTCTGCATCTTACTGTCTACTACTGTAATGCAAGCAAATATTCCTGTCTGTTCTTTCACTAGTGTCAACCCTTGCTTTCATTGCTAATAATAAACGCATGCTCCACAACTAATCTTCTACTTGATCGCTAGCATGGTCGTGATGATTGATAAACCACCAAACAAAAGGAAAATTGCACATTTGCTAGCATTACAGTGTGAAGGATGCTCTGCTGCTCCAATTTGTCTTTTATGTCAAAGCTTTCTTGTCAAATGTATGTGTTCAGAGTTGAATCAAAGTTTCAATACGGCAAAGTTGCTAGCATTGCAGCAGTATGCCCTTCCTAACATATGTATTTGTGTTGTTCCTCACGCCTCTCTGTTTGCTATGTTTTATTGGTGCTCTGCAAAAGAACTCAACTCAATGGATGCAGGGAAGGAGATGGAGGGTGACGCACAGCCATGGAGAGGAGCAGCAGCGGCTCAAGGTCCTTTCTCCTCCACGCCACCTCTGCCCCTCTCTTGTTTTGATTTGCTATGTTGGGTTCCAAGATTAGAAATATTTTTTGTTTCCATCTTTATCCATGTGCTATCATGAACTCTGAGAAAATGTTATGTTTTTGCTCATTAGTGGTGGTACATCTTTGCTTTACTCTTCCTAGCAGCTGCAGTTCATCTAACATAAACATGTTGTGCACATTCTGAACCCCCAAACATGACTCAAGTGATGTATATGCAGCAGGGAATCATCAACTTGTACAGTTTGTTGACTGGAATGTAACTTGTACAGTTTTTTACTTGAATATGTTCAGTTATGAAGTCATGTAGTTGTTTATTCTCATCAGTTCTAAACTGCAGTACTTTACTGAATTGTTGATGATGTTGAATGAATCTAGCTTGTTGGGTTCAGTCTCTTGTTTAGATGGAATGCAGTTGTGAATTGGATTGAGCAGAATCGCCGCTCTCCAGAATTATCTGTCTGACTGAACAATGGGATTAGTTCTGAGATCATTCTTGTTGTGTAGTTTCGTCAGGTCAAGCGGTCGCATGCCACTTATTTGGAACCAATAATAACAAATCAGATAATATTACATTACTTTTACTGAACTATTCTTGTTATCATTTAGATTAAATCTCATTGTTTAAGAGGTCATGTTCTTTTCTTTTATCTATTCAACACACTCCAGCATGTTGGTTTAATCAAATCATCTAGTAATGCCACAGCTTGTCATGCATGTCGCATTTCCTCTGTTTTTGGGGAATTTCGACAAGTATCATTCTCTATTTTGGGAATTTCGTTGGCGTAAATTATTATAGCCAACTGTTCAGACTTGTTTTTGCGGGGAGCAAATCTGTATATGCAAAGTGTGTGTGTGTATCCAGTGAGCAAATCTATAGTAATTACTGAGTATATTGCCTGCTTTCTTTTAGTGGCAATTTTCTGCTCAGTTCTCTTTTGACATATAATTTGTTCTCTTTGAATGTGCAGATTGTATGATGTGGTGGTTATCTTTTTTCGTTGCTGGGGTCATTGGAACCTGGATGTCATATGTTATGTGATCTGAGCCATATGGCATATTGTAATCTTTTTATTTTTGGTTTTTATGTACGATGTCATGAAGATGTATGTTTGAAATGTTGTTTTGACAGCAAAATTGTATTCATGTGTACATGTTGTTTTGACAGCAAAATTATGAAATTTCTCAACAATATGTATGGATTAAATATATATATGTTTTCCAATTTTCGATGCTTAAAGTTGTACTGTGCATGAAAAGGCTATAGCCCAACTGATGATGTTGTGGAATTGTTTGTTTTAGTTTAAATAGCAATAATAATAATAATTCTGGTGAAAGTTGTAGAAACAAAAAGAAAAGGCCAACAAAAAAGAAATTTACTAGAAAAAGGAAAGGGCCTAGAAAAGAAAAAAGGTCGCAAATTTGGCTTGGCCCATTTAGTTGACCATGAAAAAAACACAAATAGGCTGAATTGTTGGGCTCGGCCCATCTAAAACACCAAACTGGACCGGGCGATTCTTATCAATGACCTTTTCAATTAGTCGCAATTTTTTCACGTCAGATTGCCACGTCGAATCCGACGTGGCCCGGGCAAAGAGCTAGCGACCAAAACAGAAGGTCATAGAATCAACGACCTTTTGTTTTGGTCGTGGAATTTCACGACCTTCTCACAAAGAAGGTCGTTAATTTCAGTTTACAACCGCCAGCTTTTGACCTTCTGTTTTTGGTAACGAAAAGGTCGCAAATGAAAACAATGAACTTTCAGTGACCACTAGTGATGGTCGCAAGTTGACATATTTCTTGTAGTGGAAGGTCATATGTATGACCACGAGTTGTTTTATCTCTGCCTTTATAATGAGGCGGGGTGGGCTGGTATTCGGCTTGAGTTGTCGCTTTATCCCGACCTCGTGGTGGTCGGTCAGCCCCATTGCATGATGATGGTATGGGCTCCAGCGCCTCATCATCGAACTGAGGTAGCAATTTGCGCTTCGGGTAGCTTTTGGCTGGGCGCTTGAGGCTGTATTCTTCGGCTGCTAGGACATCGGTCCATCTATCATTAAGCAGATCTTGGCCAACTTGAAGCTGCTGCTGCTTCTTTTTCAGGCTCCTTGCAATGGCTATTAACTGGCGCTTAAAGCGCTCTTGCTCGAGAGGTTCGTCAGGTACGATAAAATCTTCGTTGCCGAGGCTCACCTCCTCCTCGAAGAGCGGAAGGTAACTGCTGTCCTCTGAATCTTCATTTATGGCCTATTCATTAGCGCTAACTTGCCCATCTTCCCGATTGTCCCGTTCAACAGTTCGTTCGTCGGGATCTTCTCTGTCTTCGGCATCGTCCTGAGTGTTATCGTCTCCTGTGCCGGTGTTGCTGTCTTTGCTGCGGCGTGATTTAGAGCGGCACCGCTGACGTCGGCGCTTAGGCTATGTCCCAGGAGGTTTGTCCTCGACTGGGTCTTCCTTGTCGTCGTCATTAGGCTCTTTAGGTGTATCCACCATGTATACATCGTACGAAGAGGTGGCCGTCCAGCGTCCGGTAAACGGCGGGTTTTGGACATGCTCCTCATCTGCATCGTCGTCCATACCGTCGATGTCTTCGGAACCGTAATCGAGCATGCCGATTAAGTCTTCGACAGTGGCTATGAAGTGGGTGGCGGGTGGAGAGCAAGATTCCCTGTCCTTAGCTTCTAGTCCGAACCGGATATAATTCGGCTGTGAATCCCCCGCTAAGGATAGATTTTTAATGAGTTCAACACATCGCCTAAAGGTGAGTGCCGGAAGATGTCCGTGGCGCTGAATTCGGTGATCGATGACCGACCATGCTCGATATGCGTGGACGCACATAGTTCGAAACTTATGATCGGAAACGAGTTCGAGGTTCTGGTGACACAGGTATTACCAGAGGTTGGGTCTGTGTGCGGCCCCAACGCTGTGGAGTCTGCGGCTTCCGTGGCGGGCTTGAGCTTCCTGTCCTCGGATGGCGCGACCTGTTCCGGATCTAAGGCTAGAGCGCTTACAGGTGCAATTTCCTGGGTATGGCCCGATGACAGATCTAAGTCATGTTCATCGAGGTGATGGGAAGCGACTGCCGTGGTCTCGAATCCGTTGAAGATCGAGTCTCCGCGGATATCCGTGACGTGGTTCAAGCTCCCGAATCTGACCTGACGGCCAGGAGCATAGCTATCGATCTGCTCCAGATGGCCAAGCGAGTTGGCCCGCAGTGCGAAGCCGCCGAACACGAAGACCTGTCCGGGGAGGAAGACTTACCCTTGGACAGCATCGTTGTAGATGATTGAAGGAGCCATCAAACCTTTTGAGGACGACACAGTGGAACTCTCAATGAAAGCACCAATGTCGGTGTCAAAACCGGCGGATCTCGGGTAGGGGGTCCCGAACTATGCGTCTAAGGTCGATGGTAACAGGAGACAGGGGACACAATGTTTACCCAGGTTTGGGCCCTCTCTATGGAGGTAATACCCTACTTTCTGCTTGATTGATCTTGATGAATATGAGTATTACAAGAGTTGATCTACCACGAGATCGTAATGGCTAAACCCTAAAAGTCTAGCATGTATGACTATGATTATGATTGTCCTTCTATCCGGACTAAGCCCTCCGGTTTATATAGACACCGAAGGGGACTAGGGTTATACAAGGTCGTTACAGAGAAAGGAATCTTCATATTGGGTCGCCAAGGAGAGTCCCTCCCGGACACAGGAGAGAGTCTTCGGTCTTGTCTCTTCACAGC